GGCCCAGATGCCTCTTATATCAAATATTCTATCAAGTCCTCTTTGTTCTTTCAGGACCTGTTCCTACTGCTTTCTGCCCTCCAGGTCCAGCGTTAATGATCTGCAGCAGTTTTCTAAGCCTTCAGGAAAGCTGATTCTTCCATGACTTTGCTTTACTGCTCTCCTAAGTTGAGCCCATATTACAGATCCCATGTCTTTCTCTTTCTTAGTTTTCTCTTCCAGTAGCTTTGGCCAGGGAAGTAAATTCTCTGAGTTCTTGAATATCTAAAAATGCCTTTATTCTACTTTCACATGTGATTTATACAATGGATAGAATAGAAGTTGAATTTTTTTTAGGCTTTTGAAGGTACAGTGGTACCCTGGTTTTCGAATGTGATCCTCTCCGGAAGCCCGTTCTAGTTCTGAAAGGTTCGAAAACCAAGGGCTCCACAGCCCACAGCTGGGCCTCAGGATCCTGCCCTCAGCAGAGGCCGTGGGGCGGGTTCCACTTCCGAGGCGGGTTCGAAAACCGAAGCATTTCCTTCTGAGTTTATGGCGTTTGTAACCCAAAATATTCGTCAATGGAGGCGTTAGAAAACCGAGGCACCACTGTATTCTGTGATCTTTTAAAACCCAATGTTGCTGTTGAGAAGTCTGGTGCCATTCTAATGATACGTTTTGTACATGATTTGTTTTTTTCTTCTCTGTGGAAGTTTTCAGGTTATTTTCTTTATGTCTAATGTTTAGGAATTTTATGATTATATACCACGATGTGGGTCTTTCTTTGTGCTGAGTACTTGTCTGCTGTTTTAATAAGGAGAAATCTTTCTACTTTATCTTATTTCATTGCTAATCACCTCTTCTTCTGTTTCGTTTTGGTTTGCTTACTTTGTCCTGTTCCTTTGCCCTGAACCCTAGTTAATCAATTGTTGGATCGATCTTTTGTCAATAATATTTTATTTCCTACTTTCTGTTTCTTGTTTTGTGTGTTGGTTTATTTTTGTTTTATTTTTTTAGGGAGAATACCTTAATTTTAATCTTCTAAACTTTCTCATTTCGCTCTGGCTGAAAAACATTTGGGGACATCGTTTATACTTTTATTTCCAAAGTTTCTTCCTTGTTCTTTGAGCTTTTCCATAGCATCCCATTATTGATGTGTGCATGCATCATCTTCTGATACATCTTCAAGGACATTCATTAGAATTGTTCCTACATTTTCTTTTGTTCTTTCAAGATCTCTGTTTCCTTTGGGCACGTTTCTTCTCTTTGTCTGTTCTGCACTGTCGTTTTCATGTGGGAGGCTTTCTGGAAGTAACTGATGATCCTTGGTTCTGAGTGAGGCAGCAGCGAAGTCACCGGTACCTCTGAGTGGGCTGGAGGAGCGCACTGACCAACGCCCTCTACATTCCGATGAAGCAGAGAAGCAGTAGCTACTCTGCAGGATGACATACAAATGACAACATATAGAGAGTTCTTTTTCCTTTGGGAGGGGCTTTCAGTTCTCCAGGGACAGTCCCTCAATATTACTTATTCTGGGACTGATCGTCAGGAATTCTTTTGCCTGGGAGTGAAGAGCAGTGGGCATGGGGACTTAACTGTTCTGTATCTTGAGTTTAAAATAATCTTCAAGCTATTTTTAACGCAATATCTCACCTCACCATTTGCCATGTCTTGAGCCTCTCTTTGGTTACCTGCCAGCAAATCTGTTTCTCCTTCATCTTGATCTCTCTCCAAATGCATTTTAATCTGTGACCCACTCATGAGTAACCACTGCTTAATCTGCTTGCATTTTCCAGAAATTCATTGAAACTTCTCACCTGCTCCACCAGTTCATATCTTCTCCCATTTTCTTTTTAGCTTTATGGATATATATCTAAGTTTAAATTCTTTTGCTATCATTATAGTAGAATCTCAGAAAGAAGAGGAGATAAAACTGTATAGATGTAACCAGAAATCATAGCTCTTCTTTTCATAGGTGTTCCTGATGTTGGCTGATATCTTTAGTTTTTTTAGAATTTCAGAAGGAACACCTTATTGTTGGTAGACAGTTAAGGTACTGTTGAGTGTGAGTTGTGAAAAGTCCTCTACCAACATCTTCAGTATTTGTTAAAGGAATCAGCAAAGATCTTACCTGGTCCAAGCCTCATTTAAAGTTTAACATGGTAAAAGAAGCTTCCCACGGGTAGAGTAGGAGAAAAATGCTCTGAGCTAGAATGGGCCTGTTTTAAATTGGTCCAGACTCATTTATAGTCTCTGCTGGTAATACAGGTACTCATCAGGGTAGCAGTTCGGAAACATGGAGCCAGTTGGACTGGCTACAGCCAATAGTTACACAAAGACTGCCAAGGAGCCATCGTAAGAAACTTGAGGTCTCGCAGAGGTTGTGTGTAGAATCTCAGTGGATCTGCCTGTATAATTTTTCATTTTTTAAGCCATTGAGAAACTTTTTACTTGTCCTTTTATTTTGAAACTGAATTATGTATTTTTCTCTATATCAAAGAGTCCCACTTTTTTAAGCTTGACGTCGGCAATACATAGAACCCCTGAAGTCGTAACGTTGTGAAAATAAGGGTGGTTATGGCTATGGTGGAAGAATAAGACATAACTTTGATGTCTTGGCTGAGACTTTAGTATGATATTGGGGAAGGGCAGGCAGCAGGGATAGAGAACATTATGAGCTGATTATTTTTAGTAAAATATTTCCATATGTACCTGACTTATGTTCAAACTAACAAAACAAACTTTCCACATGGAATTATTCCTAGGCCCCAGAAGTGTAGAACTCAAAGTCTGTATTATACTGATATCCCAACTTTGACAGTGTTGAAGGCAGTCTGTGTGCTTCCTCAACGGTAGATAAACAGGAATCATTTGCTATTAAATGGATTTTAAACCAAGAAAGAGTTGATGCTTATTTTACATCATTTTTAAATTTAAGGTTGGGAAGAAAGTAGACTTATCAGGTAAGCTAACAATGGAAAAGAAAGTAAAAGTGTGTCAACTTCTAAGACTCAGTTTCTCAAAAGGTAGCATCAACAGCTGGCTAAGACTAATACTGCCTCTGAAATAGAGATCATCTTCTGATTGACAACTCACTTTATTACTCAGCTGCCCTCCTACACCTCCCAGTGATTAGAAGAGAGTGAAAAATTAGCTGATGATTATACACTAAGGAGTGACATATACACAGTAAGAGAGGCAAATCTAAGGAGGATCACAAGCTGTCCGTTCAACCAAGACCTGCGCTTCAATCTGGCTCTGTGACATAGTACATTTATAATCTTGAATAAATCTTGAGAAACCAGTATCCAATATATATTAAAGAAAATCAGATAAGGTAGCCCACCGACCCTCCAAGAACTTACTGGAGAGGCTGACAAATAATCATTAAGAAGAAAGGCTGATGTTTGTTACGCAGAAGACTGTACAGGGTGCTATGGGACAGAGAAGGGACCTGCAAATCAAAGGAGAGGTCAGTGAAAGCTTATGAAAGGCCAAGATGTGAGCTTTGAAGGATCAAGAGGCGTAGGGATAGGGATTTGAGGCAGAAGCCAAATCATAGAAGGTCATGTGTACATGCTCAATGCTGGGACTACCTCTTGTAGACATGGAGAGATAAGGAAAGGTTTTAAATAGGGACTCACGTTTTCAGATCAGGAGTTTAGATAGAACAACTGAGTGGCAGTGTGGGGGTTGGAATGGAGCAGATGAGACTTGTAGTAGGGAGATTGGTGAGTAAACAGATACTCCAGATGAAAAAAGATATAATGAATATACACCATTCCAGGTAAAGATGTTGAGACTACAGAACCAACTTGTCCTGGTTTGCCTAGAACTGTCCTAGTTTTTTTAAAAATCTGAAAATCTCATATCCCAGGAAACCCTTTAATCCCTGGCAAAGCGGGATGGCTGATCAGCCTTTCTGAGGCTCTGAAGGTGAGAGTGAAATGGATGAGTGATACCCAGGAGGTAAAATCTATTCAACACATAATTAGTTGGGTGTTGGAAAGGTGGTGACAGAAAGGGAGAAGTTGAAGACACTAATAAGTTTTTTAACTTGGTTGCTGGAGAAGCTAGTCATACCATCATCCAAGAGAGACTGAATCACTTCACTGCATGTGAATCCTTTCACATGTACTTTATAGTCTTGCCCAATCATGCATTTTTTATATGTGTATTAATCATGGCAATTTTTTCTCTCTTAATTCTACAGTTTTGATTGTTTTGCAATTTGGGTCTGAAAAAATATCAATATGAAGCAATCTTTTAGTAGCTTTATCTTTTGTTGATATAGTAAAATGAAAATATGTAGCAATATACAGGCTGTGTGTGGCAGAGTAGACAATCTATTTATCCAAAGATCAGGTCATGGGATTTGTATCTTTTAGGTTATTTTTAGTAAAAAAGGACTGAATTTGAGGTCTATCTCCCAGAAATGGTGCATTGCTTTGATACAAATGCCTCATGATCCCTGGTGGCTTGCTGGATTTGCTTCTCTAAACATGTCACAAATAAATAAATAAATTTCAGGCTTCCATTCTTACGAAATAAATTTTAAATGATGCCATTTAGAAAAAGCCAGGAAGAGAAATAAATGTATCTAATCAGCTTATTTTAAAATTTTCAACTGGAAATCTGATATTTATGTTGTTTTTCTTTATTTTTTTCCAAACCAGCTTGATTGTGCAAGCCACAGATAAAGGGATGCCCAGGCTTTCTGGTACAAGTGTGGTCAAGATCCAGGTGACTGATGTAAATGACAATGCCCCAGTGTTTCTACCCCCTGAAGCAGTGGAAATTGCAGAAAGTAAGTGTGGCAATTTGGAACAGTGGTTTTGATTAACTTGTATAATATCATCTACCCTATTTTCAGCCAGGTGCTATATTAAATATGAGTACTAATTCTCAGCAACCATGCAACTTAGACAGTTTCCATCTTTATTTTACAGAATAGAATATGGATGGTCAGAAGTTAATTACCAAATGTCAGATAAGTTCAATGTTAAAGCTGGGATTCAGTGGGAAGCCAGTTCCCATGCTCATACCACTGTTGCACATGGGTTCTTTTTATGTTCAGACATTTCTTAAAAATGAAATCTGCTCTATGAAGAAACATATTTTGTTGACTGATAATCATCTTAAAACTCCTCTGAGAAGAAGCGATCTCAGACTGGTAACTTTGTCGGTCTTTGCAAGTACACTAATGACAAGTAATAAGTGAAGGGAATTGGATGTTCATCATACAAAGTCATCATTTTCCTCCAATGTAAACTAAACTTCAACATTTGCAGAAAGACTTTATCACATTAGTGGTAGAAGCTGCAAATACAAAATTTTACATGATATGCTGCTTAATCTTAATTGTTTGGGCATCGGGGCTACACGATGACTCCATAGACTATGATCCCAAAGTTGCCTGTGTTCAATGGCTCTAGCAATAAAATACAACCCAACTCTTTATAGCTGAAGTTGCAGATAGTGTGGCGCCTCACTTGCCTCTCTCCTTTCATTATTATTATTATTTTTTAAACACATCTTCATTGATTTCAGAGAGAACAAGGAAGAGGGAGAGAGAGAGATAGAAACATCAATGACGAGAGAGTCATTGATCGGCTGCCTCCTGCACGCCCCCGACTGGGGATTGAGCCCACAACCTGGCATGTGCCCCGACCGGGAATTGAACCCTGATCTCCTGGATCCTAGGCCGATGCTCAACCGCTGAACCATGCCAGGCCAGGCTCCTTTCATTATTAACACCAAACTTCTTCCTGAAGTATTCCTAACATTTTATGTCCCTTTTCCAAACAAATTCTAACCATCACCACTCACAGAGGGATATATTCCAGAAGCTTCTATATATTAGAATATCTACACATATTCTAAATATTCTGAAATATTCTATCAATAAAAAATATTTAAGTTTTGCTTTCTGCCTATTTGACATATTTTCATGTGCTTTTACTGAAGGTAAAAGTACATGCATTAGCATCAAAATGCAGCAGGGTGCCCAGTGTAATTATATCATAAGAACGAACAATATAAATCAAAACCTACTGAATGGGGTAAGGTGTGGTTGGTGCACATCAAGAATGTTCAGGCTTGACTATGAACATTGTGAGTCTTATATGCAGTGGAGCTGTTCTGAATACCGTGGCATCGCCCTTCTACCTGTACCATACATGTAGCTAAAAAACAAAGCCCCTTTCACGGCAGCTTAGACTAGAGAACACATACCGTATGAGGCATTTAGCATATCATCTATTTTGTGATTTTTTTTTTTTTTGGTGAATAACATTAAAGACTTGTTTTTATAACTAGTACTCTCTATACTTTGTCCTTCTATAATGATGAGCATTTTGAGAGTCATATTTTAAGGGAAGGAAGAATGTATGTCTCACTCCAAAAGAAATAATTTTGCAAGATAAGTGCAAAGAACTGAGTATCAATTCCTAACTTCAGCATCCAAGAATTTTTATTTCAATATTGCCTACTTTTCAAAATCTTGTGTTTTGCGTTAATGTTTTGAGTAATAACCTTCTTCCTGCCCATATCTCCCATGAATATATGATTTCGATACAGAAACTACACAGTACAAATGAGTGGTTTAGAATGTTTCTTGGTGCTGGAATTGTGTAGTAAGCATACAATGAAAAATGTAATATAAAAATTGAATATACCCTACCTCCTCAATTCCTGACTCAGTGGTAAATTTTCACTTTTATTCGGCTTATAAATTCTTCAAAGTTTTTGTTCAGTTTATAACAAGCTTTGTATGAGAAATCATGCCAAGAAACAGCAAATCCTGTTGGACTTAAAAAATAAACCTTGTATTGAACTATTAAAGAAAGGTATTTCAAAGGATGAATTTTAATGGAGACTGACATTGGTCATGACTGTTTCAGATTCTTTGCCTGGTGTGATTGTGACTCAAATATCAGTTCACGATGTGGATTTGAATCCAGCTTTCATCTTCAGTTTCGCGAAAGGCAGTAATCCTGGAAGCAAGTTTGCTATTGATCAGAGCACTGGAGTAGTGGTGCTAGTGAAAACATTGGATTTTGAAGAAGCTACTGAACATGAGCTGCTTATCCAAATTTCTGATTCGGTGCACCACACAGAGGGAGCACTCATCGTCCGTGTGTTGGACGTCAATGATAACCCACCAGTATTTTCTCAAGATTCTTACCAGGTAAACAGCTCACAGAGATGCTGAAACACAGCCCAAGCTAGAAAGGAAAGGGAACAAAGTAAGCCTCCCGCTGTTGACAGTCTAATTTATAATACAGCAGTCACTGTTTTCAGTGCTTAAGTTGATGCTAAAGGTTTTATATTTAATATCATGGAGGATTGAATTATATGTGGAATTGAATATGTAATTCTATTCCATTTCTGAAGTATGTATCATGTGTCATCTTATAAAACTATGTCATCATTTTTCTGGTTTTTAGGGATTGGGGTCCAGTTGTTCATAATAATTGGAACTTGCCTAATATTTTCAAAGCTACAGATAAGACAATAAGGTAGCTGGGATTATCTGCAGTTAATTTGGGAAGTTTTTTCTTTCCTAGGCCCCTTTTTAGAATATTTTGAAATGATTAACATTTTGAATGATAACAAAATGATTAACATTTTGCACAATTATGAGCAAAGTGGAAATTTTAGTTTTTAGAGCATAGTGTATGCTTATAGAAGTAAGGACAATGATAGCGTTCAACTAAGTACTTGGAATGGGCTCTGGGACTCTTGAAGGTAACACATGCAAGGTTTCTGTGTAAACATAGGAGAGAAACTAACCTAAGTAATGCTTTTCTGTGAAGGCTTGCTAAATTAGATAATGTGTATAAGTAATAATATATTATCAAATGTATTAACCATCCTCTACCACACAGAAATAATTTAGAAGGAAATTTTTTCATAATAAAAAAAAATCAAAACTTAATTAAATTAAAAAAAAATTTTTTTCTGAATTCTAGGACCACTACATAATCTTCTTAATATGTCCACTCTATAAATGAATATGCCTGATAAAGTCAGGTTTGCTGTGTATTTTCCATAAGCAAAATAAATGAAATGATCTCCTGTCCATGAAGATTCGTGTCTTTAAGCACAGCGTCCATTCCTCTCTCTTTTTCCCTCAGGTCACCATTCCAGAGTCGGTGCCTGTGGGGTACTCCGTGCTGACTGTGGCAGCCACCGACGCAGAGAGCCATGAGTACGTTTCTTATAGAATTCTTTCCCCTTCTGAGGAATTCTCCATTGATCCTATGAACGGTGAGTTATCTATAGTGGCTTCAGTGTCCATAGCTTTGAGTTACAGGGTGGAAACCTGAAATAATCCTTTCCAAATGCTCCTAAAATGGCTCCCCACCTCCACCCCCTGGTATTACAGACACCACCATCCCATTTCTCTTTATGTCAAATGCTGTGGTAGCAAATCCCAGGATTATTTCTCTTCTCCAGCATCTCAGTGGCTGGAAAGCCAAAGGAATTGATTAAATGCTGGCGATGGCTCAGAGGCTCAGAGACCCCCATATAGTAGACACCCAGTCGGTCAGTCCAGCGAAGCACAGTTCAGGTAGTTATCCCAGGCCTCGAAAGGCTCAAGTCAAGTTGAAAGTTGAGGGGATTAATTCAGCACTGAGGACTTCATGTTACTAGAGTTTGGAAACTTATTGTAGCCCAGGTGCATAAAGTTCAGTAATAGCATCATTCATTCAATAAGGACCAAAAGAAATTATTTGAGCCATCTCTATTAAGTAAAACACTTTCTGCTGTTCTGGCTTATTCGATGCCTTCAAAGGCTGCCTGTGTTTTTAATACAGCAAGACATTGGTGGCTGTGAGATGCATTCGGGCAAGTGGTTTCAGGTTAGGACAGTTAAGCATTCATTGTACAGAGAAAGTTGGACAGTGAGTAGACATTAAAGCTAAATTTGATAAAGATGAATAGTTAGCAAAGCACTGTCCCTAGCAGAGCACACTATGGAAAAGAAGGACCTGCGACACCGCACAGTGTGTGTTCCCCATCTATACCCACCGTTGCATAATTTCACAAGTTGAGAACTGATTTAAAATTACCCCGAGGGGAGTGGAGGGGTGGAGTGGAGGAGGTCATTGGGGGGAAAAAGGGAACATCTGTAATACTTTCAACAATAAAGATAAAAAGTAAAATAAAAGGACTCCGAGGATGGTGGATGTTAACTAGACTTATTGTGGTGATCACTTCACAATATGTACATAGCTGAAAATAGTATATGCCAATTATATCTCAGTTAAAAAAAAAATTAACCTCAGGATTACCTAGAAGGAGAATTTAGTAACAAAATACCAGCACAGAATTACCCATGGAGTGTTGTAATGGGGACAAGTAGATAATGTCACCACATGTGTGGATAAATGGTTATCGTATGGATATAAACATGTCAGGAATTTGGCTTTCCTTTCTCTCTCTCTCTCTCTCTCTCTCTCTCTTTATTTATTTATTTATTTATTTTTATTTTAATATATATAAATATGTTTATATATATATTTGTCTTCAGATGATGACAACTGTTGCCCTCGCGATAGCAAATCACAGTGTGGAAGGTGGGAGGTGGTTCCTTTTGCTTGCCAGTGTTAGCAGCAAACTTTGCAATGAGACATTGATTAGAACATCTTCAAAATATCAACTGTTATCAGGTCAATTTCGTTCATGGTGGGACTCCAACTGAAATGTGGCATTTAAGTGACAGCATTTTGTATTCTTTCTTAGTGACCACACTCAAAACACATTTGTCTTAGAAAAATGTTTACATGCATAGTTCTAAAAATTACATATCTCTATGTTTAGAACAATACATTGTATTAAATATATTTCATCAACAAGAGGAAAATTCACATGCTGAACTAACCAAGAACTTTAGGACAGACATCTCTATAATTACACAATACGTGTAACTGCATTATCATACTTACTACTTTCATTTGACTAGAGTGGTGTCAACCAGTATTTCCAGAATAAATATCTGAATGCTAGAATGTCTCTATACAGGTGTCTATGAATAGTAGAATGGGGTACAAATTTTTCAAATAAGAATACATTTTTTTAAAATAGCAGTGGAACAACTTACAATATAAAAAGAAAATTAAGAGAAATTTATGGTAAAGTCATCTGCAAGCCTCACACATATTTAATGGAATGAATATCATGAATATTATTTCTGACTCTTAAGTGTTACAAAAGGATAAATATAATAATTTTAATTTCCTATTCGGAGTTACTCTTGGTTGTAACTTAAGTAACAAATATAACAAATAAGTAAACACATTAGTAAATATTGATAAATATTTGCTAACTAAACGGTTAATGAAAATTTAATTTCACAACATTGAAATGCTACGTCTTGTTTTTCAGGCACGATATTTATTATTAAGCCTATATTACTTCTGGATGAAAAATCAACAGTTCAACTTCTTATTGAAGCCAGTGATGGTGGAATTCCTGACCTGAGGGCTCTTACCTTAGTGGAGATAGAAATACAGGATATGAACAATTACGCCCCTGAGTTTGCGGTAGACTATTACAATCTTAGCTTGAGTGAAGATGCCCAAATCGGAGGTACACTTGTCACCTTTTCAACCACTGACCATGACTGGACCCCTGAAAACACACATGTTGAATATTCAATCATCAGTGGTAATTCACAGAACAACTTCCGCTTGGAAACCAGTTTCATTCACTCAGAATATCCTTATAAGCAAGTTGGGTATCTGGTGTTGCTTCACAATCTGGACAGAGAAGCATCTGCCAGTCATAAGCTTGTCATTCTGGCGTCTGACCGTGGCTGCCCCCCACTGAGTTCCACCGCCACTGTGTCAATAGAAGTGCTTGACGTCAATGATAACCCACCTACATTCAGCAGCCTCAGATACCATGCCCATGTCAAGGAAAGTACCCCTCCAGGGAGTCACGTCACTGTGGTCTCAGCCAGTGACCGTGATGAGGGTTCACATGCAGAAATCATCTACCACATAATCTCTGGAAACGAGAAGGGGCATTTTTACCTAGAAGAAAGAACTGGAGTTCTTTATTTGAGTAAACCTTTGGATTATGAAGAAATGATAAAATTTACTTTAACTATCCAAGCTTCAGATGAAGAAAAAAAGCATTTTTCTTTTGCAGTTGTGTTTGTTGGTGTCCAAGATGATAATGACCATGAACCTCAGTTTCTGTTCCCAAGCTTGAACTGTGTTGTTCCGGAAAATCTGCCTGTTTTCTCCACCATATGTTCTGTAAATGCTTTGGATTTTGACGCAGGTCCTTATGGAGAATTGACCTATTCTATTTTATCCGCCTGTTCTGTCACTCATGGGGTGCGGCGTGACCATGATCCCTTCCTCATTGACCCTCTGACAGGGGATATTCATGCTAAGCAAGTCCTTGACTATGAAAATGACAATAAGTATTGCCTCACGGTTCAGGCAAAAGACAAAGGTGACTCAACTGCTTCTTTAACGGTTTGGGTGGATATTGAAGGGATAGATGAATTTGAACCCATTTTCACTCAAGATCAATATTTTTTCAACCTCCCAGAAAACAATAACATACGACAGTTGATTGGCAGAGTGGAAGCATCAGATGCAGATGCTGGGATCGATGGTGTTGTTCTCTACTCCCTTGAAACTCCGTCTCCTTTCTTTTCAGTAAATAAAACTAACGGAAATATTTATTTGACTAAAGCCCTTCCCCTCATTAGAAGTCAAGTCGGCAAGGAAGACACCATTGAAATGAAAATAATCGCTCATAGCCCTAAACAGGACTCCAGGTTCGCCTCTTGTACTGTTCTTGTCAACGTGTCTCTGTCCTCGGAGGGACATCGCTGGGCGCTGACAGCCAGCCGCTTCTCGGTCGGCCTGGCCGTCGCCTTTCTCGTGTTCCTGTTACTCGTGTTCATTCTGATCGCCCTGGTCTTAAGACATAAGCAGAAAGACGCCATGAAGAGCCACGGCGACAAGAAAGCGCCGTCGCCCTTGGGTATCGGCGGGAGGCTGAGCAGGGAGGCGGGCGCGGTGAGGCCCTTCCCCGCGGCGCCCGAGCGGCGGGGCGTGGCC